TGTGAGCCCTCCCTTCCCATGGCTAACGATGACCGGACAGCGCCAGAGCCCAGCTGGACCACAGCCTCTTTCTCACAGTCTGACAAACTGGAACCAAGAAACGGTCTCCAGAGGCTGCACCCACGACAAGGCAGCCCACGGTCTTACAGTAAGGCATCTTCTGCCAGAGCAATCTGGACAGCAGAGAGAGAGAACACAGCAGACAAACGGCATAGGTTAAAGTGAGGTGTCTAAGAGCCAGGCTTTTTAGTCGCGTCCCAGATCTAGCCAGTCCTGAGCCTGCTGGGTCCTGAGCCTCACCCTGTACCCTAGAATAAAGGTCTTCTCTAAGCAAGCTAGCTCCAGATGATTCCATTACATGCCACCACAGAAGTCTTAACACTGAGGTGGGCATTCATGTACTCCAACTCATATCCAGACTGAGCCGGCTGGGATGTGCTTTGGCTTCTGAGGGAAAGGAAAAGAGAGTGAGACACGATCTCTGCCCTCAAGGAGATCACGGGCCTCAACCAACGTATTAAATGTGGTGAAAAGAACACAGAGTACCAGGAAGGAAACAAGCCTGAGGCAACAGGAAAGAGGCAGAGAGCCAGGAGAGCTTCCTGGAGGAGGGGCTGCTTGAGCTGAACTTCAGAGACAGAGCCCTGCAGCGGGGAGAGGACATTCCTGGCAAAGATGAGCGCAAGTCCAGAAAAGGGCAGGCTGGCATGGTTTGGGGGAGAAAACACGCACGAGGAGCGAGCTGTACTAGATAAGCTGGGGGTCAGGGAAAGGGAACAAGACACAGGCCTCAAGAGGCTTGCAGTTTAGAGGGAAACCGCATGGAAAGTTTAGTACAAGTCCAAGACCAGCTCTAACAAGAGCCTTCCAAACAACTACCACAAAATGAGTGGTGCCTGCAACGGGACAGGGGCTGAGCGGCAGGAGAACATCCTTTCAGCTTCCCAGTCCGGGCAGAGCAGAGTTAGGCCCTGCAGGGCTGTGCGACTCGAACAGGCAGTGCCTGGCTGCATCCTCGTGAACGATGCTATCAAAAATACTCAACACAGAACTCCACATTTCTTAAGCCACTTTCTCATTCGCGAGCATACAGCAGGGTAGGGCATGTAACAGAATCACCACCGTCTGACGTTAGGGAAGGAAATGCAAACCGAGCGAGCCCCCTGGGGTCACAGAACTAGTGAGTGGGGCAAAAGCTCAGGCCCTCTTCCCACTAAGGGAACAAGAACCCCACGTGTCAGAGTAATCCTAACCCGGCTCTGAAGCTCACGGGCCAACCCACGATACTTCGTCCTCTGTGGGGCAGCTCAGGGGAGCGGAGAGGTACTCTTTAAGACCAAGAGAACACAATACAGACGTGTTTAATTTAGTATCTGTCTCCCCACATGATTACAAGCTCGAAGAGGGCAGCCACCATAGGACTTGCTCAGCAACTGAGCTCAGTAGCTGGTCTGTAATTAGGAGTGTTCAGACTGATTTCACGACTCAATAAGAATGACTAACAGAGCGAAGGAACCCAACCGAAAGGAAGGGGAGACATGGGAGGCGGGGGACAGAGGCTGGCCATGGCAGCGAGCACAGCCTTCTCACAGACGGAAGCGAACTGTCCAAAGCTCTCCTCCTCCTCGCCGCCTCCCTCACAAACCTCCAGGGCATTAGTGCAGAGGGCAGGCGGAGGTGAGAGAAGAAAGACGCCAGAACTACAAAGGGCAGGCGGCTCTTGCTAACTGTAGGGACAGGACGGGCAGAGGCTGGTGTGTGTGCGGTCCCCGGTGAGTGTGTGCACAAGTTCTTGGTAAACAACACAGTCATGCCTACGTTGCAGGTGTGATCTTGAGGTCTGAACACTAAGCACCCACTGTGATATTCTGTTTGGAGTTGTGCTTAGTCAGGACAAGTTTCTGGAAGGATTTTTCCAATACTCTTCTTGGATTACTTTCTCCAGCTTCCCCCTGTGGTTGCCCTACAAGAAAACCAGCTCCCAGGAGTGAGGTGAGGAACTGTCACCTCACCTGGCAACTAACTGTCCACTTACTTTTTAACCCCACGACGCAAGGCTGAAAGAAACCGAAGAAGTCAGGGAGGAACCACTGAGGAAAGCAGTAAAAAGGATGGTGCCCCCACCCCATCCTGTGGTCCTCCAGGAAAATTCCTAGCTTCCTCCTGTTCTCATCACCCCTCTTCCTTCATCCTCTCCGCCCTCCCAAACTGGTGCCAACGCTAGGTAAGCAACAGCTGACCTAGAGAGGTGTGGCCCGTACCAAGAACCACAAGCAGTTTCATTTGGCACAGAGTCTAAAGGAGAAACAGCTCTTTGTTTCATCCACCAGAGAGAATGCCACCAGCTCCTGCTACAAAAATTCCCACAGTCCCCTCTCTTGTGAAGGCAGAGAGAAGTGTCCTCTGGCCCTCCCAAACCCAGAACATCCAGTTGAAGACAAGAGCTGCTGATCCTGTGTGACCACAGGCAGATGCAAACTGCAGAGCCAGGCGTGCAGCCCACCCCTCCCAAAGGCTGCCCCCGGCTGCAGAAGTCGGGACCCGTGTCCTGCCTGAAATCTCACAGCACCAGCAGAGGCTGTCACTCTGAGCAAGAGACTCGTCCAGGCAGATCTGCTCTATTTTTACCCTCCTCACCCTCACGGACTTCCCTCCTGAGTCTTCCCTCCTAGGGAGAAAAAAAATCCCCACAGTGAGGAAGTGATGACTACACAATAGGGAACAGGTCAGAGCCAAGGGAGGATTCTTAATTCAATATAAGGCGGGCCTACGCCTCACACTCACAGCGAGAGAGGATGGAGGCCCTCAAGGTTCTTCCTCCACATCATGTGATTTGAGGCTGGCCCCATGATTTTCAGGCAAACTTTCCATTATCAAAAAAAAAAAAGCACTTGATTCTAATGAACCCTGACCCATTTGCTGAAGTAACCTCAGACACACCCCCACAAGCCTGTGTGCACGCAATCCGTCCATTCCATCTGTTACGACGCAGAAGCCACACACACCTCAACCTTCCTGGGTTCCCAGTAGCTCCTAGCAGAGCAGATCTGGAGCTTTTCCATCGTGTTTATGAACACACTGTAAAAAATGAATGAATGAATGAGCTAAAAAAAAAAAAAAAAAGACAACACTGTAGATGGGAAGGACTAAAACTGAATTTAATAATGTTAAATCCCAATCTTCCAATGGAGAGGGAAAGCCCACAGATTAGCCCGAACAGTTTCCGCTGTAACAAAAACCCTGGGCTTTCACATCGAAGAGAAATTCTGCAGCATCCTAGCAAAATGTTTTGAATCATGGGACTATGACGGTATTTTCATCAGGTGTTGTGCTTCTCACCAAAGGCAGTGGGCAGAAACATCTTCAAAATACTGAGGCTCTCAGCAAAATAAAATTCTGATATCAAAATGAAATCAGATCCTCACCTATCCTGCCACTGTACTCCCAGGGGGCCTTCAAAAACCCTCTGCTGAGATGGAGCTGTTTGGTTGTCTAAGAAAGAGAACTCTCGATGGTATCAGACTGACTCACTTTAAAAGAAAATCCCCAAACCTCCCCCACCCCAGTCCTTCGCCATACAGATCTGACCAACCTGGGTTTGGCAGAGTATTTCTGTTCCCATCCCTTCACAAGATGGTAAAAGTCATCCCTTCAGCTCCTCTGGACCCTCCCCAAAATTGTGAAGAGGTCTGTCAGCCCACTAGGGTTCTTCCTGCCCAAGCATCCCAGGCAGCCCCTGCTCCCCTCTGCCTCCCGCACTCGCTCTGTGGCGTGCCAGTCCTCTCCCAGGATTCAGGAGTAAGCATGAGCACATACCTTGAAACTACACTCTTGTTGAGAGGTTGCTAATTCTTCATTTCCTCTTTCTCTGGAGTTGAGATTTACTATCACATGACTTTATAATCTGTAGTTTACTAAAAAGCTGTACTAACGATAAGTGGCTCATAAATTAAATAGAAGTAAAATTATTTTTGTTTTAGAACTTCTCTGAATTTTACATATTGCCCAGATCACCAAAGAGCAGACAACCGGAGCAGGAATTCCTTCTTACGGGTTTTCTCTTCTGTCTCCAACTGGCAGGAAACTCTTCAGGGGCAGAGCCAATCGCTGAATAAATAAATGTAAAGCAGTAACTGTAGACAGCATTTTGCTTTAACAAGTTTTCTTCTGGGGGTGCCTGGGTGACTCAGTGGGTTAAGCCTCTTGCCTTCAGCTCAGGTCATGATCTCAGGGTCCTGAGACTGAGCCCCGCATCGGGCTCTCTGCTCAGCGGGGAGCCTGCTTCCCCCTCTCTCTGTCTGCCTGTCTGCCTCTCTGTGATCTCTGTCAAAGTAAATAAAATCTTTAAAAAAAAGTTTTCTTCTGGGTGTATTTCCTTGCTTTAAAAATTAAATACTCTTGGATGTGTTATTTATACAGAAGTACCAGCTGGCTTCAACAATTCCGTTCACTCTGACTTCTTTGTCAATAGTTATTTTACATGTTAGGGAGGGAAGAGATTCTCCAAACTCTAACTGCGTAATTTCAAGGGCTCCCTCCTCTTCTGGGGGTGGCTTGGGTAGAGAACTAACTCACCACTCAGGCTTCTGCAGGTCCGACAGCTGAATCAGTCTTGAACAAAGGGCCTCCTCTCAATCACCGGTCTCAAACCCTACAACTGTCCAATCAACAGGAACCATTATGTGGCACAACAGGGCCCAGGGGCATTAGCTATTAGCCTTAGCCTGCCAGTTCTCCCATTCCAATGCTGGGTGGCAGAGTGCTCCCTAGAGCCCACCCACCATTTAAGGACTCATCAGGAAAACGCAGTCTGGCAAGACATCCGCAAGTATTCTCTCTTCTGGTAGGTAAATGCAGACATATTTTGTTCAATAATTTTCATTCTGACTGACACGGGGGGGGGGGGGGGGGTAAGGCTTTTATTGAAACCTATTTGGCAAGATGAAGCCTCAGAAAGCAGACAGCTTAAACAAGCATCGCATCAAGGAGAGAGCCGAATCGGAGTTGTCAACAAAAGGAAGTTCTTCTTTATTCCAGAAATAGCCTTAGAAAGGAACGAGCGTGGTGCTAATTAGAGAGGAGCGGGGCAGACTTGCCTATCAAAGCACCCACCCTCCCCGGCTGATGTGTGGAGAATGGGGAGGTACTGTTGGAATAACCTTTTTAACGGCTGTTCAGAGCTGAGCTCTGTACTTCTGTATAACTACAAGTTGCTGCTCCAAACACAACGTCACCAGGTATCTTAAACAACCTTACTGGGGAAAAAATGATGCTCTGAGCACCAAAGCAAGAACAGCCTTTTCCATGAGTGTAGCAGGCAGTGTCCCTGCTGAAGGTGGCCCAGCAGGCCACGTGCGCCGGAAGCCATCAGGCTGAGTGCACAGGGGTCCCACAGTGCTTGTGCCACAAGTCGACAGCCTTGCTCACAATCGCGTCCGAGCTGTCCTGGGGAATCTGCAGACAAGCAAAGCAGTCGTCGTGAAACCGCAAGTGTGTATAACTTCCTTCTCTCCCTCGTTCGCTGTGCCATAGCACTTATGTGTCCCCAACCCCATCAGAGTTCTCACGACTTGGCCGGGCAGAAAGCAATCGTGCGAAAGGCCACGGCCTGGATCTCTGTTTCACAGGCCACCAGAGGACACGCCAAGGAGCTCTGGTCAGACTGCCTGGGTTTCAAGCCTGCACTGCCCCGTGTGCCCCTGGGCAGGCTACCCAGGCTACCGGAGTTCAGATCCTGGCTCTAAAATGAGGCAGATGAAGCCACTCTTCCTAGGGCTGTTTAGGATTCCATGGGAGACCCCGTGAAGAATACTTAGCGGGGGCCCTGGCACTGTCAGCCTCGAACAGAGTGCTGAGGACTCTTGTATTCACCTCATGTTCACTGGTACTTACTATTTACTGAGCCACTATTCAAATGTTAATAGTGACCAATTAAAAAGAAGAGATTCTGGGTCCAGTGAAATTCATCCCGGCATAAATCTCCTCTACCTCTCTCCTGGTTAAGGGTATTCTAAGATACTCAGATTCATTTAGATCTTTCCCTGCACGCACTAAGTATACACTTACGAACATTAACAAACCCAACTGGGATTCTGCCAGAGATAGTAACAGCAATGAAAGGGCTTACAAAATCCCCAAAACATCAAGCTTCCTTTTCCACTAAGAAGGATTATTCGACCTCACATGACAGATCTCACCTCTTCCTTTTCTCAGCAAGCCTCCTGGTGGTCAGGCGATAAGACTGTGGTCTTGACACACACACTCCCAATAACAGTCTCACTACTCAGCCCGTCATCCCCCACAGAGAGGATGCAAATTATAACCCACAGACCAACTTTAAGCTAAATTTTTCCAAGGGGAAAAAGGGTTTCTTTAAAGGTAAAAATATCAAAGAAAGAATGTAATGCAGTAGGAAAATCTGGCTTGCTAAACGGACTTCCTTTCTAGATTCAAAATCAAATTTTAAAAAAAGAACACTTACATTTTCCAGAAACTTTGTTATCTTCTCTGCACTGTTCAGAGCCATTACTTTTATTTTAAAGGTCAATAAAATTTCCACAGCTACAAAAACTAGGATCTTACAGGATCCACTTACAACTTTATCCCAAACCCTACAAAAAAAAAAAAAAGAGAGAGAGATATAATAAAATTATTTGAGTTTGAACTTTGTTTAGCTAAACATCTCAAATTATAAAATTAAATCAAATTACTCTTGAAGTATAAACTTCAGAGAAAAGCTGTAATGAAATAATCATCAGAAAAGCAAAAACACAACAAATCAGCTATTTGAAACACATTTCACACACAATCAGCACTGCAAGGGAAAAACAAATGATCACTAAAGAGTACTTGCTCTTTAAGAGATCTACCAGACACCCATTCCCTAATGTTTTAAACCTGACATTTAAGGGAAGGAAAGTCTTAAACCAAAGTGTGGATTTTATTAATATTGTGTAATGCTAATCTAATCATTAAGTACTAAGGAATAACAAAAGCAGCATATGAAATGAGATCAATGCAATTTCATTTTCCAGTGGCTCAAATTCCTAAAACTTCTCCAGAACTAAAGGAACTAGGAGGCACCTGGGTGGCTCAGTGGGTTAAGTGCCAGACTTCGGCTCAGGTCATGATCTCAGGGTCCTGGTATCAAGTCCTGCATCAGGCTCCCTGCACAGCAGGAAAGCCTACTTCTCCCCTCTCCTCCCTGCTCATGCCCACTCTCGTTCTCTCTAACAAATAAATTTTTTTTTTTAAAAAGAGCTTAAGGGGCTAGTTAGGAATCTGCAACCACTCTAAAAAACCTATTCTGGTAATTCCTATTCCCCTTAAAGTTGGTGTTGCACTCTATGTGCTTAGTCATGCACGGTCTTGTGCTGTCTTCTGCATGTCACCTTTCTTCCCAACTACCTCATACAGTCTTGGGGTGGAGGGAGGAGGACTCTGAAATGCCAGCAATACGTCTGCAATGAATGAAAGCAGAGTGTGAGTCTCTGATCTCTCTGCCTGCCTTTAGCTACTTTAAAGATGTCACGATGGAACTAAGAAATAGGAAGATTTCCTCCAGATCAGGATCTACCACATTTCTGGAAAAGCCTAGACCAATATAAGCTCCTGGAGATGGCCTCAGACGTGAGCAGTGTACATCATCTAACAGACTGAGGGCCTTCAAGTTTTCTAATTGTATATTTTAATCTTTCTAGCATTAACATTAATTTGTATTCATGTTACATTAACATTACTAATTTCTGGCATTTCTAAGTGCATAAATAATAAGTCGAATCAAGTTGCTCTGTTGCCTGCCAGGGAAGTTAGCCTCAAATTACTGGTATTATCCTAAAGCAAATTCATACTCTGAAGGACAAGCACATGAGAAACCAGGATCCTCCTGTGCCTTCAGGCCTTGGGCCATCTCTGGAAGCGATACTTGCCTCTGTAAACTGGATTCAGGCAAGCACCCCGCGAAGCACCTCTTGAACCAGAGATCGTAAGGAAGTCTGGACAGCGCAGAACACGTCTTCAGATGACTCAGCAAACGGCTGTCTTCCAGATTCAAGTATTGTTCAAAAGCCTTTGGCTAATGATTAAACAGGAAGAGAGATTACTCGTTTCCTGTGACATAACATTACCCAATCTCACAGCCTGTGATGAACAAGACAAATCGAATGTACATGCTGAGCGCAGGCAAGCACTAGAAAACAAAACTTCGGACTCCTCCAAGTCACGCGTGACGCAAAGTTCCTAGGTCAGCCCTGACCAGAACAACCAGTGGGGTGGGACTGAGGGGTTTTCCAGGACAGCACCCAGCAAAACCAAACGGTTGTTCCCCCTAATGTTCCCCCTAACAGCACCAACAAGGTTCCACAGCCAAAGCAAAAGTCCAAAGCAAAATTCAATTGTTCTGGGGAACTAAGAAGGGCCCGTGACACTCCTGGCTGCTCCAAAACAGTACATGATACACAGGGAGAAGGGGAAAGAGTTAGACCAAAGAAACAGAGTGGTATCAAGTGGGGAGAGGGAGTCCAGAAGAATGTGACAAAAAGAGCTGGATATGAAAAGGGCCCACCAGTCCAGACCACATCTCTGCCAAGCACTACTGGGCACCACGCCAAAGACAGCCCTACGACAGAGACATCCAGAGGAGGCACTCAGTACCACGAGGGCAGGAGAAGTCTCAGGAGGTAGAGAAATCACATGGGGGGCACAAAGCACCTGGGTTCCATCTGGTAGCCTCTCCCATGAAAGGTTAAGCAGCAGCCAACTCTAGAAGCTAACCAAGCCAGCTCCAGACCAGCCAAACCCACCTGGCACAAGCTGCTATATTTAGGGTCCACTGGCCAAGAACGGCACCTGGGGGTCAAACCCTGAAGTCTGTATTCCCTATTCAGAAACACAAAATGACATCCCATATCACCTAAGCAAATGCAAATGTTTCTTTTACTAAATATCTGCATCTCGCCCAAAGAGGTAATTCCTCTTACAATGTTCGCTATAGCCAAACCCTATGCTACATACAGAAGAGTAAATGAAAACATACTGACATAATGTCCCCGCCTTCAGGGAGCATACAATCTGCTCAAGACAAACCTGTAATAAAGCTCTCGTGGGGTAAGCACCTGATGTTGGACACATCGAGGTGGGAATCCGAACCCAGGCCTTACAAGCCACGATTTCCTGGAGGTGACATCTGAGCCAGCTTACATGGAATGACGGGAGCTAGCCAGGCAGGGAGGCCCACATATTAATATTGGGCCCAGTTTTCCCCTCTTTCAGGGAGCTCTAATTTTTTCTGTTAAACCAACTTTCCTACACTATTAAATAATTCCTAGAGCTTCTCAAGAACACTCCATACAGCTCTCAAAAGCAGGAAATTTTCTCCAAAGTCCAAGTTGTCAAAGGGCTCTTGATCTCACCTTTCACCTCTAAAACCCTGTCTAGAATTCTGGTTGGTTCTGCCAGTGGAATGTTTTTTCACAAACTGACCTGGGTGAACACACACGCACACACGTTTACCTATTATGTTTCATAGCAAAGAAAATCTCACCCAAAAGTCAATACAAATAACAAGTAAGATAGAGATGAGTGTGGAACGCCTGGATGGCTCAGCCTCTGCCTTTGGCTCAGCCTCTGCCTTCGGCTCAGGTCATGATCTCAGGGTCCTGGGATCGAGCCCCGCATCGGGCTCTCTGCTCAGCAGGGAGGCTGCTTCCCCCTCTCTCTCTGCCTGCCTTTGCCTACTTGTGATCTCTGTCAAGTAAATAAATAATCACACATATATATATATAAAATTGCTGAATAACCAAGTGAATATCATGAGTTAAATGAAATGTTGAAGTATGCTAATCAACATCTTGATAATCACTCAATGTACATCTTCCTTCCACTCTTAAATTTTTCTAAATCTTTTCTCCTGATTTATAACATGTTCATTATAAGAAATCTCAAAAATGCAGTAAGGAATAAAGAAAGATATAAAGAGCCCTTAAACTCACACTACCCAGAGATAACTACTGATAATATACAGGTTGCATAGCACCCAACTATTTTCCAGTATATATTACATTACACCTCACATCAGGCTCCCTGCTCAGTGGGGAGCCTGTTTCTCCCACTGCAGCTCCCCTGCTTGTGCTGTGTCAAACAAATAAAATCTTAAAACAAAAAAGAACCAAAACAGATGAACATAGGGTGAAAGAGGGAGGCAAACCAAGAAACAGAATCTTAACTCCAGAGAACTGATGGTTCCCAGAGGGGAGTTGAGGGGATGGGTGAAACAGGCAATAGGGATTAAGAGTACAGTCACCATGAGGAGCACTGAGTAGTAACATATGGAACTGCTGAATCACTATATTGCACACCTGAAACTAATACAACACTGTATGTGAGCTATACCAGAATTAAAATTTTAAAAATCAATGAAAAAAATTTCACCCTTAAAAAAAAAAAGCCAAACTGAAGTTATCATCTATCTCTCACCTATCAGACTGGCAAAAATGATACACCATGTTGGCAAGGGAGACTGTAAGGAAATGCATCTCATTCACTGGTTGTGAGGATGAGGTCTATGAAGGGGAATTTGGAAATATCTAGCAAAATAACATATGCCTTTACCCTTTGATCCAGTCAACCTATTTCTAGAAAACATATCCCCCCAATATACTGGTAAGTAAATGAAAAGGTATATGCACAAAGCTATTAATCCATAACACAGTGTCTAATAACAAAAGACTGGAAACATCCTAAGTGGCCAATAGAGAACAGGTCAAATAAACAAAAGCATATACACAGAGTGGAGTAGTATGAAGCTGTGAAAAGGAATAAGGAATGGCTCTATATACAGTTGACCCTTGAAAAGGAGTTTAAACTACATGGGCCCATTGATATGTAAATGTGTTTTAATAAATACATGTACAGTACGATAAATGTATATTTTCTTCCTTATCATTTTCTCAATAACATTTTTTTTTCTCTAGGTTCCTTTATTATAGGAATATGGTCTGTAATACATAAAACATACGAAATATGTAATATGTGTTAATAGACTGTTTATGTTCTTGGTAAGGCTTCCAAGTCAACAGTAGGGTACAGTAATTAAACTTTCTAGGGAGTCAAAAGTTATACGTGATTTCCAACTGGGTGGGGGCTTAGCATCCCTAACTTCAGCATTGTTCAAGAGTCAACTGTACTATTTATGGCATGATTTCTAGCATGTATCAGGTGAAAACAGCAGGGTAGAGAAAAATGTGTTATCATATGCTATTACTAAATCTAACAAAGATAGTGAATATAAATATATAATGAATATATACTTTTTTAGTGGAAAGAGATAATATTTACATTGCTTTTAAGTTTTAGTATACAGCAAATGGTAGATGAGATTATATTTTACAGCTAAACTTTCAGGTTATTTCTAGTATTTCCATGACCCTCAAATTCTTACTTTATGAAGAAAACATAACAGAAGGCAAAACCTGACAAAAAAGAGACTTAACCACTCTGAGAGGAATTAATATTGAACTTAGGAAGAGGCTATTAGTAGTGTTTATTTAAAAAACATAAAAAAAAAAAAAAACCTCTTTAGGATAGCTTTTAAAAAGCAGACCAATGGCAATGAAAGAAAGTTCACTCACTTTAATGATTAAACACAATTAAGCCTGAGATGGCTTAAGGATGGTCTGCTCTGGAAAGAGATTAACCAGAGAGGCCGTCCAGGTCACAGTCTGAAGTTGGATCCTATTCTTGCCAAAGACAAGCCTCATCAGAGAGCAACATTTCCTAAAGCTTATAAGGAGAAGAGAAGCTGCGATGTAACCCTATCAATCAGAATATTATGACATAATAAATGTGTCACCACCAGAGTCTCATCTTCTTGTCATGCCAAAAACCCATTACTGCCCATTACATGTACATTTCCCTAGGATGATAAAACAAGCTATGCTTTGTGATAACCAATTTCGTTGGTAAAACCACAAAAACTCGAAAATGATAGACAAGATTATAAAAACTCTAAAATGAAGCTAGGAAGAAGGGATTCACTAACTACCGTAATAAAAATTTTATGGGAAGCTAAGAACAGCTTAAAGAGAAATGTTCACGTAAATCAGTAAATCAAATAGCAACAAAAAGGAAACTTAACTTTTCTTACACATTCTGAAGAACTTTAAAAAAACAACTTCATAACTACTTTAAACTATGTGCTAAGTACTATAATGTACATATTAAAATAAACCTCATGGGGCACCTGGGTGGCTCAGTGGGTTGGGCCTCTGCCTTCGGCTCAGGTCATGGTCTCAGGGTCCTGGGATTGAGCCCCGCATCGGGCTCTCTGCTTGGCAGGGAGCCTGCTTCCTCCTCTCTCTGCCTGCCTCTCTGCCTACTTGTGATTTCTCTGTCAAATAAATAAAATCTTTAAAAAAATAAATAAATAAAAATTAATTAATTAATTAATTAATTAAACCTTTTTTGAAGATGAAGAAATTAAGGTTTGGGGGCATTTAGTATTTTGCTGATTGAAAATTCATTTCCAAAAAGAAACTGGAGTTGAAGCAAAGCCAAGGCACTTTTGAAACAGAGCAATAATATGAAGGAATTTTCCTTACCACCTACCAAAACATATGAGGAAGCTATATTAAATAAATTATATGGTACTGACCCAGGAATAGACAAATAGCTTGATGGGGGAAAAGCCCAGAAAGAGATACAAATATATACAGAAATCTAGTATATGATAAAGGTGGCATTTCAAATCTGTGAAAAAAAGAATAAACCGACAGATAGTGTTAAGTGGTAGGTAGTTCTACTGCTTACTAACTGTGTGACCTTGGGCAAGTTACTTAACTGCTCTGTGCTTCAGTTTCCTCATCTATAAAAACAGAGAGGTGTGCTAAAATTAAGTTTTCATTAAAAAGTAAACTGCCTGGCATGAAACATGAGCTTAATAACATCAAACCAAAAGGGGAAGACGAGGAGGCTGACTGAAGGTTTACTGCAGTTAACAACAAAGAAACAAGGTCAACCCTGTGTCAATACCAATCACAAACACAAATCCCTCACAAATTAAAGGACTCAATTTTAAAATGTTTCAATATAGACGCATGTGGGTGGCTCAGTTAAGCCTTTGACTCTCGATTTTGGCTCAGGTCATGATCTCAAGGTTGTAGGATCGAACTCCGCTTTTGGCTCCATGCTGGGTGTACAGTCTGCTTAAGATGCTCTCTCCCTCTGCCCTCCCACTCAACCCCCACTCCTTCTTGCTTGAGCGTACTCTCCCCCCCTCTAAAAAAAAAATTTAAAAAACATATTAAGATAAATAAATAAATAAAATGTTTAAACATTAAAAGTTAGAGGAAAGTTTTTTAAAAACCTGCGTTTTAATTTGAGTTAGAAAGGGTTTCCTAACTCCAAAAAACAAAATATTGACAGATCTGATTAAATCAAAGCTTTGAAAATCTCTATACAACATCCAGGGAGAAAAGACTGCCAACATATGTAACACAGGATTAATATCCCGAGTATATCAAGAGTTCTTACAAAGAAAGAAAGATGCAAACAAGATAGAGAGGTGGACAAATAGAAATGACCAACAAAAATATGCAAAGCTGCTCAGCTTCACTAGAAAATAAGGATATGTAAACTAAAATAAGATACCACTTTCACTATCAGATTAACAAAAATTTAAGAAACTGATACCATCGAGTATTGGCAATGGAGTGGAAAATAGAAAATCTTATCTGTTGGGGGAAGCAAAATCAGTATGCCTTCCGGGTGAGCAGCCTAGCAATTAAAAACCTTAAATACATCTTTCAATGGAGCAATTCCCTAAAAGGGACCTGCCCTGCAGAAACACTCCTGTATATAGAAAGGCTCAGGCAGAAAGGCAAGCAGGCTGTCAACGTGGATCTGTCATATTAAAACATGGCAGAATTCTTAACAGGAAATAATATGAACACACTTTTAAAAGGGAAAAAACGTAGTTCTAAAGGAGTAGCTCTCAACCCTAGCCACATTTCAGAATCACCTGAAGCTTTTTTTTTTTTTTTTTAAAGATTTTGTCCATTTATTTGAGAGAGAGAAAGAGAAAGAGATCACAAGTAGGCAGAGAGTCGGGGAGAGAGAGAGGAGGAAGCAGGCTCCCCGCCGAGCAGAGAGCCCCATGCGGGGCTCGATCCCAGGACCCTGAGACCATGACCTGAGCCAAAGATAGAGGCTTAACCCACTGAGCCACCCAGGCGCCCCAACCTGAAGCTTTTTTAAAAAAATAGAATTCTGGGCCCCACCTACCCCCAGAGATTCTGACTTAATGGGTTTGGGTGGAGGAAAGGCACTGATAATTTGTTAAAAGTTCCCAGGTGGTTCTAACAGAAGTCAGGGTGGAATATTACTGATCTGCACAGACTTGGAAAGTGCTCCAAGACATCGAGTTTTTTTTAAAAAAAAAAAAAACAACTGTAGAGCTATATCAATGATCTCATATTTATGGGGTTTTTAAAGTTATACATACAAAAAATATAAGTCATTAAATGCATGTATGTGTATTGTGTACACATGTGCATATATGTATGTATGTGTGGAAGTGGCTGGATTCCACCCAACCTAATGTACATAAGACAGGCTAGGATATACACCCAGCTAATGACAGTGTTGACGTCTAAGAAAGTGGGGGATGAGGATGTACAGATCTATAGGAACACTGGATTCATCCAGACTAATACTCCAAGAATATACTTATTACTTGTGTTATCAAAAATAAAGGATTCTTTAAAAAAAAAAAAAAAAAAGTTCTTCAAAGAATCCAATCAAGAAATGGGCAGAGGACACAAAGAGACATTTCTGCAGACACATGAAAAAGTGCCCCACATCACTCGGCATCAGGGAAATACAAATCAAAACCACAATGAGATACCACCTCACACCAGTCAGAATGGCTAAAATGAACAAGTCAGGAAATGACAGATGCTGGTGAGGATGTGGAGAAAGGGCAACCCTCCTACACTGTTGGTGGGAATGCAAGCTGGTGCAGCCACTCTGGAAAACAGCATGGAGGTTCTTAAGAAAGTTGAAAATAGAGCCACCCTACCACCCACCAATCACACTACTGCGTATTTACCCTAAAGATACAAACGCAGTGATCCGAAGGGGCACGTGCACCCAAATGTTTATATCAGCAATGTCCACAACAGCCAAACTATGGGAAGAACCTAGATGTCCATCAACAGATGAATGGATAAAGAAGATGTGGTATATATATATACAATGGAATACTATGCAGCCATCAAAAGAAATGAAATCTTGCCATTTGTGAGGACTTAGATGGAACTAGAGGGTATTATGCTTAGCGAAATAAGTCAATTAGAGAAAGACAATTATTGTATGATCTCCCTGATACGAGGAAGTTGAGAGGCAACATGGGGTGTTTGGGGGGTAGGAAAGGAATAAATGAAACAAGATGGGATCGGGAGGGAGACAAACCATAAGAGATTCTTAATCTCACAAAACGAACTGAGGGTTGCCGGGGTCAGGGGGATAGGGAGAGGGTGGCTGGGTTATGGACATTGGGGAGGGTATGTGCTATGGTGAGTGCTGTGAAGTGTGTAAACCTGGAGATACACAGACCCGTACCCCTGGGGCTAATAATACATTGTATGTTAATAAAAAATTTTAAAAGTTAAAAAAAAAGTTCTTTAATCATATACTAGCAAAATGCTACAGAATATACTTCAATACTAAATAAGAAAAGCTAATTAAATCATGGTATAATCTGGACCTCTTGATCCAATTAAGCAAGTAACATTATGCTTCCATCACCAAGCTTGTCTTTATTGAAATCAACTAAGTGGATTAAATTTTAAAATTCTGAAAATCAAATTTTACGTAATTGAAATCTATAAAACACTCCTGTAACAGTGCTCTACAAAGCTAAAGGGTCTTCCTGCCAACCGCCCTGCTGACTGCAGTTATTAGCACAGGAATCCTCAGGGCTCCATCGACCTTCATCGGCGCCCCTCACCTGGCCCCGAAGCCACGATCTCAGTTACTGCTTTCAAGAGAATTTCCAAATGAAACAACTCAACGATTTAAGAAAAAAGACATTCATTTTTAAAGGAGAGAAATAAAGGGAAAAAACGAGAAAAACAGAATGGCAAAGAACCACTGGCTTGTGCTGAGGAAGCAGGTGCTACGCCTCTCTCTGCACTCCCAAGTCAGAGCATGGCAGCCTGCCGGCAGGCTGCCTCCCTCACAGCCGTTCACCTCTCCTTCACTAACAGAATCCGAGTTTAAAGATCACAACATGTCTGGCTAAAACAAAGCCACACCCCCATTTCCCAGCCTCTGCTGCAGACAGAGGTGGCCAGGGGCCACGGTCCTGCCACTAACAGATAGGCACAAGGAAAATCTGTCCAAGGGAGACACCCTTGACTGGCTGTTCCTTCTACTCCTTCACTTTTGTCTTTGCCCTTCCCTTCCTACCTGCCGAGAACACAGAGGTCATGGCTGTTGCTCCAGTATCCAGCTGGGAGTAAAAGAGGAAGGATCACACCTAAAAATGCTGGCCCAAAAGGACAGGAGCCTGGGTCCCCACTGACATCGTGGCACTGTGGCACCAGCTCTGGACTGCCTTACCTCTAGATTTCTGGTTACATGAGAGAAAAAAATAAAGCTTCAGACACTTGGGCTTTCCATTACATACAGCCAAATTCAAACCTTAACTAATTCAGAGAGGCAATTCTAGATAAAGCCAGTAGATTCTAGACCAGGATAAGGAAAGGAACAGGGGCTGCCAACTATGGCAATGCAGCAGGCCAAACCCAGCCACCACCACGCTTTCATTCACCGTCAGTGGCTGCTTCTGTGCAATAGTAGCAGAGCTGAGTGTTTGCAAGAGACACACAGAGACCATCTGGCCCACCAACCTGGACATATTTACTACTTGATCTTTTACGGAAAACACTTGTTGGCTCTTACCATAGAGGGTCCACTCGTAACTGTAGCAGCACCAGGAAGCACGGATATTTCCCCATCACCACTACTCACCCCTACCCGCCAAGAGCCAAAAAGAGCATCGCTTACCAGCTGGGGTAAAGACTCTCGGTACTTGTTATTTAACTGGTTCACGAAGGATCGGATGATCCAGTAACAGTCGACACTATCCTCTACCATCTCTTCCACGGCTTTGGCAATGGCGAGAAACACCTCATCTTCTGGCTCCTAAAAGACAGCAAATCTCTGGTAAAGGGAGGGAGCCAGCAGAAGGGAGGAATACATATTTCTTGCATAAACATGAGAGCTTACCCCCTAACTTTTGAAGACACCGCATTAATAAATCAAAGTGGAACCAAAAAGCACTCGGTCTGCCGCTAAAGAGAAGACCAGGGCAGAGAAAGGGGTGGGTAACCAAAGAAATCTATTTGGATCAGTGGTGCTTACGAATGTCCAGGTTTTAGACTAAGCAGATTTTTCCACCACTTAAGGTCATCAAAGGGAACATAAATCATAAGCGAGGTGCAGACTCTCTCCACCCAAAAGTATTCCCAAGGCTAAAAGAGAATTTCTTTCAAAAGTGTGTGATAGGGGCACCTGGGTGGCTCATTGGGTTGAAGCCTCTGCCTTCAGCTCAGGTCATGATCCCAGGGTTCTGGGATCGAGCCCCACATTGGGCTCTCTGCTCAGCGGGGAGTCAGCTTCCTCCTCTCTCTGCCTGCCTCTCTGCCTACTTGCGATCTCTATCTGTCAAATAAATAAATAAAATCTTAAAAAAAAAAAAGTGTGTGATAAACATCACAAAGAAATGGAGACATTTACAAAATATGGTAATTTATAAAAGTTCAATGATTCCAAAAGGACTAATAAAGCTTCTTAAAAAAAAAAGGCATTTTCTTTATTTCAAAGCATTCATATATACCTTTAGAATTTTGTCTTAAGCACCTGATAAGTTAAAATATCCCTAGAATCAGAATTTTAGGAATCAGAAGAATGGCATTTCTCAAACCTTGTGTCAACACTCAGAATATGAACATAAACCCACAAGTAAATTTCAACAAAGTAATCTTATAAAAACTGGAATCTACGTGGAAATCCATTTTGTTTTCAAACACCATATCTCACACAAAATTACATTTTCAGGGGCATGCAGGTGACTCAGCCAGTTAAGTGCCCAACTCTTGATTTCAACTCAGGTCATGATCTCAGGGTCACAGGATCGAGTTCCACACTGGGCATGGAGCCTGCCTGGGATTCTCTCCCTCTCCCTGTGCCTCTCCCCCAGCTCACGCACATGCACACATGCACAAGCGGTCTCTCTCTTTTAAGAAAAAAAAAAAAAAAAAGATTACATTTTCATCTAGGATTTAAAAGCTGAAGGACTTTGGGGTAAAAAAGGAAACTGAAAAGTATCTGTCTCCCTTAAAAGCTCAAATTAAATCAAGATTCCTATTTTTAAAAAACATTTCATTTTAGGCCTCCATTCAACTTAATATTCTATAAAATGTCCAAGAGTAACAGAACTATAATAGGAAACAAACTGAGGGTTGCTGGAGGGGACGGGGCAGAAGGACATTAAGGAGGGCACGTGATGTACTGAGCACTGGGTGTTGTACACGACTGATGAATCACTAAATTCTACCCCTGAAACCAATAACACACTATATGTTAAATTAATTCCAATACAAATTTTTATTTATTTATTTTTATTTTTTTATTTATTTGACAGAGATCACAAGTAGGCAGAGAGGCAGGCAGAGAGAGAGGAAGGGAAGCAGGCTCCCTGCTGAGGAGAGAGCCCGATGTGGGGCTTGATCCCAGGACCCCGAGATCATGACCTGAGCCGAAGGCAGCGGCTTAACCACTGAGCCACCCAGGCGCCCGAAAATACATTTTTCTAAACATTAATGTATGAGAGGAGGAGAGAGAAGGAAGAAAAGGGAAAGACCATCTCCCTTCTTGGACTCCCAGCCCATACTGGGCACTGTGCTGGGTACTCCTGAACGTGGCCTCTCACTGGCTCCAGGAGTCTGAGAAGCAGGGAAGAGAACCCACATCCTTGACTACGTTCCCAGCCCTGTGTGGAGCGCTGTCACGCACTCTGCTATGTACTAATACTAATGAGGCTGAGTGGGGCTTAATGACTGGGGAGTTACGAGGTGGCAGAACCAAAGCCAGCACTTTGATGGCACATCTGCCCAAGACGAGAAGGTTTCTGGGCGGGAGTATGGGTAAGCCAAGTAGGGATGAGGTGAAAACCCTAACCTATTATTTAGATTTCTTGAACTAACAGGTAATCTAACCCAATTTAATACGCAACTTAAGAACTTGCAGAGTATCACCAACTGCGCTCTGCCGGAGATAAGCAAAATTTACAGACTACTCAGACTTCCAATTATTTTCAGGGCCAGTCTCTTGATAAACTTAATACGAGTGGACAACCTCAGATCTGTCCATGGGAGCCACATCATTCACTTCAAAAGCAAGAACAAGTCAAAACTCTAAGTGCTATATGGGTAGGCTGCCAACTGCAATAAAAGTTTCAGGGCACCTGGGTGGCTCAGTCAGTTAAGTACCTGCGTTCGGCTTGGTTCATCACCCTGGGGTCCTGGGATCGAGCCCCGCATCGGGCTCCCTGCTCAGGGGGAGTCTGCTTCTCCCTCTCCCTCTGACCCTCCCCCCAGCTCATGCTCTAATAAATGCAGTCTTTAAAAAAAACAATTTTTATAGAATAGCACAGCTTGCAGATAAATCCTGATACTGAGCAATCAGTTTCAGCCACATACACAAAAAGTTAAAATTCCTATAATGAACATTAAACTGCAAAAAAATAGCCAAAGCTCAAGAGCTATAATCACTCATTTGCCTGAACTTCCACTCTCCCCTTTATGAGCAGCAAGTAGTCCAAGTAAACAGAGTTAAGGGTTTGTAGAAGAGGAGAAGCTTAAAAACAGGTTGGGCCCTGTCGGGCTGAGGCCAAGGACGGTCAAGGCAAAGGAGGTGGCCCACTGGCCTGTAGGCAAGAGCCAAGAGGTAGCTGGCACTACTACTTACAACCAGAGGAATGAGCAAAGAAGTGACTGTACTAAGGGGAGCCTTCTCGTATTTGCCGCTGTCAGACAGGAAGGGGCAAACATAGAAGGGTGAGGGCAAGAAGAACCTGCGGTGCTGGACTGTGATCAGAGGGATCAGCATGAACAGAGGCTTTTTCACACTCAGAGATAAAGAGACAGATAGACATAGGTCTGTGAACGTACACGATTCTATATATTTGCAGAATGTATATGTATTTCCTAGCTCTGCTGACTGACAGGCCTTAGAAGCAACACCACACCAGAACCAACATGCACATCTAGTTCCTTGTTCTTCATTTCTAAAGACCAAACTTTATTAAAAACAGAAATGGCTTGATTTTAGGATCAAGGCAGAAAAGGTACAAGATGGGCTATGGAAATGTTCAAGGATGGGAAGTTGTTATAAAGACACAGAGGAGAGCCACTGAATGTTTCTAAAGTGGGGCACCTGGGTGGCTCAGTCAGTTAAGCATCTGCCTTCAGCTCAGGTCATGATCCTGGGGTCCTGGGATCAAGCCCTGCATCAGGCTCCCAGCTCCATAGAGGAGCCTGCTTCTCCCTCTGCCTGCTGCTTCCCCTGCTTGTATACTCTCTCAAATGAATCAAAATCAGAAAGAAAGAAAGAAAGAAAGAAAGAGAAAAGAAAAGAAAGAAAAAAAGTTGGCTTCTAAGGCAAAATACGATGCTAAGGCCAGCAGGACAGAACAATCTAGAGCTGAACCAAGTGTTCAGCTAAAGTACCACTAACCAGTGGAAAGGAGGGACTTCGAGGCAACTTCCCAGACTCCAGCTGATACATGCGGAGATAGACTTCAACCGGAGGTGTGGCATCGCTGACAAGGCGAACAACCTCCAGGGCATGAAGGACATCACAGTACTGCTCCTTGCGATACAGCATCACCTGGGCATGGGACTCGTGGTGTGGAGGCAGGATTCCTACACAGAGACCGACGGGGGAAGAAAAATGGGCAAAATACTGAGACACAGACCCAAATCCCTCGATTACAGAGAACCACAGTGAGACTGGAATCACACGGAGAGTTAGTTACCACACGGATTCTGTTTTACAAGTTCTCTTATAAAACAATCTTGAATTTTAAGTACTATCAATATTTGAATGTCATCTGCATCACTGATATTTAAGAGAAATGAAAGGGCATCATAAAGCCCTTGAATAAGTGTACCATCCAAACAGTAACCACATCAATTATCATAATGAACTCGCTCAATTTATGATTGCTGGCCTGGGGTCTCCCTCGGCTCCTACAGACATATCTCCAGGTTTTGCACTTGGCCCCTGCTATGGACCAAACTGTTTTCCCCCAAAATTCATAAACTAAAGCCCCAAGCCCAGTGTTCCAAATGAAGACAGGGCCAATAAGGAGAGATTAAGGTTAAATGAGGTTGTGATCCAACAGAGCTGGAGCCCTTCTAAGAAAAGGAAGACATCCCCGATCTGCGGTCTCACTCGCTCTGCAATGTGGGGACAGAGTGGGCAGGTGACCATCTACAAACCAAGAAGGGAGGCCTACAGCACCAACAACCAAAGCAGCCAGCACCTTGATCCTGGACTTCTCAGCCTCCAGAATCATGAGGATATAAACTACTGTTGAAGCCCTCTGGTCCGGGGTATTTAGTAACGCTGCCCAAGCTAACAACACGGGCCTCTCATCTCAGAGCCACCGACAACTCATCAAATCCTTCTCTTCCACAACAAGCAAACAGCCTAGCTTCAGGACCACAGAAATCTCTCATTTTCGCTGATGAAGCCATCTTACATTACATTTGATGCCATTTTATGCTCATTAACCCATTTAAACCTGTTTACCCGGGAGGTTCTGGGGGCAAAAACCTACCTTTTTTTTTTTTTTTTTTAAACAAACAAATGGCATGGAAAAAGCCCAGTGTAAAGAGAACAGGACAGGCTTTCAGTCTAGTCCCAGGTCTGATGACACCAGGACTCTCACAAATTTCTCTCTGGAAACTTGTTTCCTCAGCTGTCAGAGGTGGGAAATGGAATGGATAATGTTCTTTGTACAACACTAGCCCCAAAAGTCCACATGAGAAAAAGGGTACGAAGGACCAAACAGATTTGCAAAATGTGACAATGAATTCTCAAGGCTCTAAGTTCTGCTATAAAGGAAAACATCTTAGGGGCACCTAGGTGGCTCAGCTGGTTGAGCGCCCAACTCTTGATTTCAGCTCAGGTCATGATGTCAGGCTCCACGCTCAGCACAGAGTCTACTTGGGATTCTTTCTCCCTTTCCCCACCTCTGCCTGCACACACATGTGCACACACGTGTTCTCACTCTCTAAAATGAATAAATAAAATCTTCTTTAAAAACCCTCTTATTTATTCCAGCCTCATTAAATTTAGCAAGACTGTATAGGAATACGGACTCTGGAGTCAAAGCTCCTGGGGTGGAACTCTAGCTCTACAATTAACTGGCTGGATGATGGTCAGCAGTTTAGTCTCCCTATGCCTTAGCTTCTCCATCTGAAAAATGAGACTAATAATCCCTACCTCAGTTGCTGTAATGACTAAAAAATTAATATACATAAAGTACCTAGGAAGTACACAACACATACTAAGCTAGTATAAGTATTAGCTGTACATATGACTAAGGATAACTCCTTGGTATAAAACACAGATCCAATATTCTAAAGAATATTTTGGAAAACAGAAGTTGGATGAGCTCAAAAGACTTAAGCTAACATGATGCCATGTTACCATTAGAACCTAACTCACCTAAATGTTCTCTGTCCTGACAAAGTTTTATCTACTTTAGCTTTGCAGTTCTGTGCCAGGCTTCTGGAAAAGCCAAGGGAATACACTAAAATGTCCTCCAAATCTGGGCTAATAAAGATTAAACAGCTGTAATTCAACCCTCCTCATACTATTAGAGGCAGCACAGTGCTTCCCATGTTAAGCCTCAAAGTAAGAGCTAGTTCTAAAACACTTTTTTTTTTAATATTTTATTATTTATTTGACAGAGATCACAAGTGGGCAGATAGAGAGAGAGAGGGAGAGAGAGAGGGGAGGAAACAGGCTCCCTGCTAAGCAGAGAGCCCGATGCAGGGCTAGATCCCAGGACTCTGGAATCAAGTTCTAAAACACTTCTTTCCGATATTTACCTAAAATATATCAGGAAGCAGGCCTGACAAAGTCCCTGAGTAATCAACACCTGTGCTGGGAAGAGTTAGCTTGTCTCCTACACAGCACGGCAGGTCCAAATCTCTAGTGTCTTTACTACAAAATAACAAAGACTTACCTGATAAAGACAAGTGGGAAAAACAGAGGTGATAAATGAAGTCTAGGCACTTACAAAGTGTCACAAAGTAAAACTGTACATCTCCCATGAATCCACTGCTATTATTAACTCTTAAGACATAGTATTTCCGGGGCACCTGGGTGGCTCAGTGGGTTAAGCCTCTGCCTTCGGCTTGGGTCATGATCTCAGGGTCCTGGGATCCAGCCCCGCATTGGGCTCTCTGCTCAGCAGGGAGGCTGCTTCCCCCTCTCTCTCTGCCTGCCTCTCTGCCTACTTGTGATCTCTCTGTCAAATAAATACATAAAATCTTAAAAAAAAAAAAAAAAAAGACATAGTATTTCCCAACAGAAATACAAAGAATTGACACTACCACCTAAAAGACATCCCTGGAAGGCATTTTTTTTTTTTTTTTTGATGGCCACCAGAAACACCAAGATTGAAGAAAAAAATGCTCAGGGAAAAACTAAAATAGTTGATACTTGCTCTCTAGACTTGAACTGGACGGTGGCCCACCAGAAACACAAATGCACAAAGACTGCCAGAACACACAACAAAAAAAGGGGATCATACAGTGCTTTCTAATATGGGTTGTACTCCCCCCACTGCCTCCACATTACATCATCAGACTCAGGACTACAGATTTCTCAAGTCCTGAAAATGCATTTTGGAAAGAAAATGAGGTCTACTGTCTCTCCTACTTCAAATGGGCTCTACCAGCCTAAGCTCAAATCCTAGCTCTGCCACTTGCAGACTGCCAGGCCTCAGGAAAATTATCTAGCCTGTGGTCTTTGTCCTCATCTGTAAAACTGGGATGTTAATACCTATCTCACAGCAGAATTCTAGGAGTACTCTCATTTTTTTTTTTTTTTTCCAAAGAAAGGAAGAAAAGGAGCATGGTAATGGCTGGATGTTATATGCATCAGCAGGCTCAGCAATCACAGGAAAAGATCCTTGGCTCAAAAGGGATGCTGCCAGTCCCTTGTGGCACCTAATACACTTCTTCTACAGAAACTGAGCAGGTTCCTTTCTTCTTCTCCCTCGGCCACTCATCACGGAAATGTATCCATCTGTGCTTTCTAGGAAGTTAAAACTCTTCGTTTCTTTCTGAGAGCACTCATTAGGAAGCCAGACCTCTGCAGCTGGGAATCACAGCGATAACGTGTTGAGAGCTTCCACCTCAGTCTAATTTATCTCAATAAGCTCATTTTACAGGTGCACAAGCCGAGACCCAGAGGGGTCTTCCTCGGGGTTACCGAGGTGATGGTAAAGGCTAGACCAGTTTCTTCTCCAATACGATGCTCTTCCCACAGTTAGTTTCAGCAACACACGTTACTTTCCCTTCTGTCGTGACTAAACGGACATTCTTAGAGTCCTACTGAATGTATGGCTACTGAAGTCACCTTCATAAACATACATGTTCATGGTGAGCAATAATTCAGTCTCCTGAGAGTAGACCTGATATGCAGTAAAGGGCCTAAAAATCCTCTTTTTTCTGACTGATAAGATGGCAAATATCCCCTCATTCAACACTTTTGAAGATAAGCCTTCCAACCGTTGATCTCATACCTAGAAGCACCTTCCATACCAGCGCACGATACATGGACGGGAGAGGGAACCTCTGACTGAAAGTACAAAGTTTCTCAATATCTAGACAAAGGAAAAAAAATTAGTTAGAAGCTTTTTATGATGATCACAAGAAAGTGCATTTCATTTTTTAAAAATCGAAGTAGAGTAACATTTCTTCAGAAGAATTCTACTCTGGTCAGTGAATCTGGGAAATGCAACGCTGGTCTGATTTCTAGCCCAGGTGTTCCAACTAGCTATTTAAAAACAATCAGTGCCTCAATGTGTAGGTGATGCTTTCTGCATATATTACTACATTCCCTACAACACGAGCAGTAGGTACTATTTATAGAATTTATTTCATTTAATCCATACTGCAAGCTTGTTGGGCGCAGCAATTGGGGCACTTAGGTGGTTCAGTCGGTTAAGTGTCCAATTCTTGATTTCAGCTCAGGCTGTGATCTCAGGGATGTGGGATCAAACCCGGAGTCAGGCTCCCTGCTCAACGGGGAGTCTGCTTCTCTTCCACCCCTCCTCCTCCTCGCCCATGCTTTCTTTCTCTCTCTCTCTCTCAAATAAATAAAGATTTCTCTTAAAAAAAAAAAAAAGCAGAAACTGAAGCTCCAAGCAATTAAGTGACTTCAGTTAGTATACCTAGTGAGTGGCATGGCCAGCCCTCAAATCTCTACATTTTCCAGCAAACAACACTCAACGGTCTTGGACCTCAGATCCCCCTACTTGTGAATAATTCCAGACATACTTTAAACACAGACTGTCTAGTGAGGATCAAAGATCAGGTGGGAAATGGTTTTGAAATTTTAAAAGCATTCTACGCATGTAAATTTTTATCTATGGATCAGTTTATTTTACTCTAGTCAACAGAACAGACCTTATTATTACTACGAAGAAACTAAAATGTCAATAAATAACATAGTCCCAGTATTTCCATAGAGGAAAAATCACGGCCAAGAGTTGTTGTGAATTTACCCAGAAGCTAGTAACACCTCTGAAAACTGAGGAAAAGAAATACATGGGAAATATGAGGAAAAAAAAAAGCACCACTGACTTCCTGAGACATCTGACTTGGACTTGGCAAAATATAAGCTTGAAAAATCCATAACTTCTCCCAAAATACACTATTCACCTGTCATCCTAGCACTAAAAAAATACAGCAGGTAACAAGTACTTCTGAATGTCTTTTAAGATAGCATTTCTTTCCGGACAGCTGGGATGACTAAAACCCAACCACCTTAATTTAGCTTGTAAAACTCACCCAGCCGGTCATCTTTTAGGAGAATTTCCAAGGATTTCTTTTCTTCAACTCCACGAAACCCCACTTTCTCATAATATACTGAACGGAAGTTTCTCTGAGAGTCCTCAGTCATGTTTCATTCTTGGGAGAAAGAGAAAGATCAGAGGGGGGGGACAGAGTGAGCTTAAAAACAAAGAATGAAGAATTGGGACTTTTCCCAATGATTTTCTGCAACTTCTCCATGAATTCAATATACTAAAACAAACTGGCTGCCCTTGCATAGGAGTCAACATGAAATATCTCCTTTTAAACAACTACCACCACCTCACCTATGCTCCTTGGCCAAAAACCAACACATAAAACTAAAGTCCTCTGAGCTGTTAGATTTCACACGGTACAGGCACTAGAATTACTACTTATGGGAGTTCCTAGCCATTATACATGCTCAAAGAAAAAAAAAATAGTGAAATATGAAGATAGACAAGATGTCATGCAAAAGGGGTTACCAAACAGTATCCACTGCGATTCTGTTTTACAATTATTATGCATTAAAAAATTATACTATATGCTAAAATGTTGGCAATGACTTATCTTTAGGTAATAGGATTCCAGGTGACTTCAATCTTTTGCTTAGCCATATTTTTGAACGGGCATTTTGTAAAATGAAAACTAAGCTATCAAGTAAAAGGCCGTAAGTCCCTCACTTTTAAACACAATATTATCGAATGCAATTACCAAAATTCAGAACCCACCACAGATTAACAGCACTGAACTGTAAAGGAGAAGAGGGGCAAGAACATTAGCCTGTCCTCGAGTGATGCCATAAAGCTGGAGGCAGAATAATGACTTAAAATCTGGCATCAGAATTCAAAAAGCTGAGCGGTCTCTGGTTCTTTCACAATAAACTTCATAAAACAGAGTTCATAAAATAAAGTTCATAAGACTGGCAGCAAGTCATCAGGAAAAGGTCAAATCGGGTTGGCATTTTAAGAATAAAATGAATGTAACCCATTTTTCAGGAAGTACTGCAGGCTTGACTCAAATGCTTAAAACGTCGAAGCAAAAGAAAAAAAAATATATGTAACATATATACATATATATAATCCTCAGGTTTTAGAAATCCTGAGAAGTTCCAGACAGCCACAGTCTGATTGAAAAGATACGCTCTGAGCCCCTTCTGTCACAGGAAAGAGGAGGAATGGTTTAAAATGAGAAATTCTAAAGAATTCTGAGCTTTGAGGACCAAACTTTTTTTTTTTTTTTTAACACAAAATCAAAGCACTAAAACGCTAAATGAATTCGGGGACTCATTTAAAAGCGGCCGCCAAACAGCTGCAGGGGGATGCGATGCCCGTTGCCTAAGAACGGGCCATTCTCGGATTGCACGACAGCGACAGCGGCGCATAGGTCCTGGAGGAAATTCTGTCAGTGACACTCCGGCCCCTGACCGTCCACTTCAGGAAATGCAAACGACCCCAGGTCCCATTCTCCCTATCACGCTTCACCTCTAGTAGTGGAAACCACACCCGGGTTGACACTAAGCGGAAACCAGGCCCAGCGCGCTGACCGGCCGGCGGGCAGGAGGGCGACGTGAGGGCCGCCAAGGACAGGGACGCGCCCCCACGAGAGCCCCCGCGGTGAAGGGAGGCAGCCCGCCGCCAGCGCCCGGGAAGCCCGCGACCCACAGCCACCGCCGCCGCCGTGACGTACTTACGCCGTGACGTAAGTACCCGCCCGAGGGGCGGTGCCGAGAGTGCGCGTGCGTACAGAGCATGCGCAGAAGCTCCTCTCTCGCCGGGAGACTGAGACTGTTGAAAGAGCCGAAGCGTCTGGGGTGGGAGGCTAAGGTCCTCATACCGCGGCGCACGCCTCCTCCGCCCTCTAACTCCTCGGGTCCACACCTGGTCTGGAGAATCTCTCTACCCCCCTATTCCCTCTGTCCTGGCGGTGACTGTTTGGGACGCTCACTCCTCCAGGGTTGTAAGGTCCCCGCCTGCGGGAGACCTTGGAGCCCAGGACGATGCACCACCCCACCCCCGCCACAAGCTAGCTGTCTGCAGTGGAAGACTCCTGTTTGGATTCTTTATTCCCTTTTTATTCTTTCAGTGTGCGGAAACAAGTGAAAACCAAGCACATCAAAAATGCAAAGGCAGCTTATTCCGAACTTGCTATGCAGGAGAGCCACCCTCCGTTGAGTTCTGGCAGAAAATAAAAGGCAGATGGAGTGGGAACGGCTGACCTAGGGGAAAAGGTAGTGAGTGCTTCAGGCATGCCCTCACTGAAGGCTACGGGCATGGGAAAGCTGTAGGGAGACTAATTAGAAATGGGGCATCCTGTGTGATCCCAGTGATTGTCAGTTAGCCATGTGAGGCTTTCTCTGGTTGATCCTAAGTTGGGACAAAAATTAGGGAACCTGTCAGTTATTAATCAAGTCCTGGCCATTTGGGGCCAATTATTAGGGTCATTTATTGTTTAACTTACTGGGTTGTTTCTAAAGCTAGCAGTCTGGCTTCCTGCAAGTCTGACTTAACAGCAGGCAGCCTTCCTAGGGTGATTATTATAGATAAGGCTTTGGTTCTCTCTCTGGGTTGCGGCAGGTTGTGGGTCAGAGTTCTATTTTTATATATAGTTGGCCCACTGTATATTCAGATTAAACACTATAAAAGTAAATTTTGAAATGTGAAGTCTGAAAAAAAGATATACTAACACAAGCCCCAACCTATTAGATGCAGCAGACGTAAAAACTACTCTATAAACTGGCTATTAAAGCTTATAAACATTTTCAGTTTCTCTGCTTACCTTGTCAAAGACCAGCACTGGTCCTGGGGACACCCCCCTCTGAGCAGCACTGCTTGGGTAGGTTTTTAAACCAACACAGCTTGAGAGGAACCTCCTAGAAAAAAGCCAGTTCAGCGATGGATGCTGCCTCCTTAAAAACCCAAATGTGTACGGAAGAGACCACACAGAGACCAAGCTCTAGAGGGAAAACTTGGAATCAGTAGTACAGAAGTCAGTCCAGTTATAGTGTCAGGAAGTTTGTGGTGGCATAGCTCGGTAGAACTTTAAGAGAAGCTAGTAGTGGTGGTTGAACTCAGACACTTATAGTTTTCCCAAACCCCCACGCCCCATCATCACCATCTTTATTTAGTTTGTCAGTTCTGGGGTACTAAGCCTTGCTTAGGCAGTGTTTCTTCACATTGGGAAGAATTCTTCAAGTTCTAGCTTCCAAGGATTCCCTTTGCTTCATTTGCTTCATCTGAACCTTGACCAGTCACTAATGTTTACAATGTCTTTTTTAAAAATCTTTGAAATAGAGCTAATCACGGTGACGGCATCACAGGTATTGGAACTCTTAAATGAGAAAGTTTAAGCTGCTTGGCACAGCGCTTCGGCACAGCGAGGATATATGTGAATCAGCTGCGAATAGCTTAAGGGTGACCATATGGTTCTTTAACTGCCTTTCCCTGTGCTTTTTGGTGAGCTGAGAAACAGTATTTGGAAGCTTCTCTAGGAAGTAAGTCTCCTGGAGACTGTACTTAACACTGCAGCCAGAGTGACCCTTTCAAAATGTCCTTTTGACAGCTTCCTCAGAGTAGAAACCAAAATCTTTTCATTATGTGCCTTCTTCCCTCAACCTCATCTACTCTCAGGGACCCTTAGTACCTTCTTGTGTTTGTTCTCTGCCTGAAATGCTATTTCCTCAGACAACCGCATGATCTGTTTCCTCACCTTAATTTTGGTCATATGTTTCCTCCCCTAACCACCCTACCGAAAGTTGCAAACTCATTGCCTGAATCCCAACCTCCTCCTACACTCTACATTTCCTTTCTTCCGCAGCACTGATCACCTCACACGCTAGGTAATCCACATCTTCTAGTTGTTATTGAGTTTATCCTCCCACCAGAATGTCAGTTCCAAAAGGTCAGGAACCTTTGCTTTGTTAACTGATGCATCCCCAGTTGATGGAGCACTACTTAACATAGTACGTGCCCAATTCATACTTGCTAAGTGAATGAAAAGAGAACCCACACACTGAATGGACAGCCCTTCTTTCTTTCTTAGCGTTGTACGTTTGAGCTGTGAGGTGTCAGAAGACATTATTAGCCACAACACAGAACACAGAGTGGAGCAGGCAAGTGTGATGTTGTGATTCATAATAAGGAATACGTATGTGGTCTTTATCCCGATGTCTGGCTCACAGCCCTGAAAACCCTTGAAATGTCCCAGGTGTTGAGAGTGATAAGGCTATCCTGTGTTATGTTAATGAGGTGACTGTTGGACTACACCTGAGGTTGGGGGCTGGTTGCCTGAAGAATCAACCAGGTCATTAAAGGGTTGGAGCTTTGGTGCTGCCCTGACCTCTGACCTCCAGGAAGGTTAGAGAGGCTGGAGGTGTAATCAGTCCTCAATGGCCAACGATTTAATCAATCATGTCTGTACAATGAAGCCTCCATCGGAACCCCTAAGAGGAAGGGGTTAGCAGGCAATAAAATTTTCGTGGAATTTAATTGAAATACAAATTTTATTTTTTTAAGATTTGTTTATTTGAGAGAGACAGAGACAGATAGAGAGAACACAAGTTGGGAGGCAAGGGAGAAGCTGGATCCCACTGTGCAGGGAGCCCGACCGACATGGGGCTCAATCCCAGGGCCCTGGGATCATGACCTGAGCCAAAGGCAGATGCTTAACCAAATGAGCCATCCAGATGCCTCTGAAATACAAATTTTAAAAGTCCGAGGTGCTCTTCATTTTGAACGCATTTACCTTGCTGCCCCGTTGCGGGCGGGCATCACTCCTTACTGCCTTGTAACCTGACTGCCCTCTGGTGGTTAACTGTTCTTACTAAATTATGGCAATAATAGTATAGGAGTCCATGGAATCTCAAGGTTGAAAGGGATTCAAAGTCAGCCAGTCCCGTTAAATGCAGTGGCCAGAGCTAGATTTCAGGGTATGAAGACAGAAGAATATGCATAGGAATGCCGTCACAGCCTTCATATTTTAAGAATTCACTTTTGGCGGGAGAGTAGTTACCAAATATCACTGACCTCAGCCCCTTCCCCTCCCCTTTTTTCAAGTAATAAAGAGATGCAGACCCAGTGAGGTTACAGCTCTGAGACAACTGTCTTTATTTGGAGTAGCAATTAAAATTAATATAATAAAAATCCATTACAGCATGATTGGTAACTATATAAATTCAGGTAATGGAGGTGTCAGATCACATCTTTAAAACATCTGAAGAGAAACGAATCTGGATGTTTCCGGAAGTTCATTTTCTCCTTCGTATCCATCATTTGGCAGAGAAGTGTTTCCCTCGGACCTGAGTTGGCTCAGTCAAGTAGGCAGATACCAGCTGTGGGACTCTGGAGTCTCCCCTTTTTTTTTTTCCTTTTTTTTTTTTTTTTAATATTTTATTTATTTATTTGTCAGAGACAGAGGAGAGAGAGCGAGCGAGCACAGGCAGACAGAGAGGCAGGCAGAGGCAGAGGGAGAAGCAGGCTCCCTGCCGAGCAAGGAGCCTGATGTGGGACTCGATCCCAGGACGCTGGGATCATGACCTGAGCCGAAGGCAGCCGCTTAACCAACTGAGCCACCCAGGCATCCCAAGGAGGCTCCCCTTTTCTGACCAATCATAGCGGCTCTAGACTTCTCCCCACTCTGGCCCACAGTTGTAATAGATGCATAAAAAATTAAGGGGAGAGGGGTCCCTCTTGATTGGAAAGATGACCACAATGTAGAGACCCTCTATGCCTGGCCTGAGCTCTGGGATAATCAGATTTGAGGCATCCCATGCACTTGACTACTTTCTACTAGTAAGTTTTTCCTCATAAAACTTTATTTTATACCTGCATCATTTAACCCTACTGGTGTCTTCATGACCCATTTTCATGAAGCATAACAATACACAGATATGTCCTACTGGATGCCACATTAGTTAACCTGTCAAAACTAGGAGTATATGTATTATGTAGATGTGATTATAGGCTTCAATACCGTCCCTATGGTTAGATCCCTGGGCTGCCTCGTGCTTAAGGAGTCATTTGACAAATAATGAATCCATTAACCACTTTATAATTATTTGGCTTTGGCCCTGTCTGATATTTTGCATAAATCTTTGACCCTTCTCATGTCAAGACGGCATGGAAAGTCAGCAAGGTTAAAATGAAAACATCATTTTCAGTGAAACTAGGAAAAAAAAAAAGTAAAATAAGTGAAGAAATTTCCCAGACAGTGGAGATTAAGTGGGGCACATGTAGGAGAAAGATTCTGTGAGTTCCGGGTTAGTTTCAGTTGGTCGATTTCTTATTCTCATAATGGGTCATGTTTTCTTCCTTCTTTGTATGCCTGGGAACTTGTCTCCGGATGCCGGACTTTCACCTTTTTGGGTGCTGAATATAATTGTATCCCCTAACTATTCCTGATCTTTGTTCTAGAATGCATTTCCGTTATTTGGAAACAGTTTGACGCTTTTGAGTTTTGCTCTCAGGATTTGCTAGGTGGACCCAGAGGCATGTTTATTTTGGGGCTAATTATTTCCTACTTCTGAGTACCCTACCTAATGCTGCCTGGGTTATGCAGTTTCCCAATCTGTTTGGTGGGAAAAGGCACTAATTTCCCCAACCCAGCATACACTGACCGTTCTCTCTGATCCTTTTGGATGATTCTTTCCCTGACCTCAG